TCTTCGTCTCCATCATTCTGACGCGTCGTTCCGTCCTTTGTCGTAAATTGTTGCAATGATGAGGCGTTTAATGGGCAGACATGATGCATGTCCCCAGGGCACGAGGGTGTACATGTGTGTGTAGTCACCTATGCAGGCCTGTAGAGTCAAGTTCTAGCTGTTGGACCCCGCTTTTCTATCAGCTGGGTTTCTATTGCAATGACACATGACCTATTTCCCTATCGTACCTGCTTTTAAAGTGGTGAACTGAGTTTGCCACTACAACCTGTTCCTTTAGGCCATTCCATTTTCTCACTACCCTTTCGCTAAAAGAAAATTGTCTAACATATCTATGACACATCTGAGTCCCCAAGCATTCATCCGTATGTATGTAGTCACCTATTTGTGCTTGTATGATCGAGGTGTTAGCTCCTGGACACCCTCTGTTCTAACTGTCGGCTGTATAACGTAAACGTATTTAATGCGAGTTTATTCTGCATATATAAAGGGGTTTGTAAATGACCTGCTTGTGTTAGCGTTGTGACAAAATCTTAGAGATGTTTCCATATATAATACTATTATCTTAACTGTTTCAAATGTGTTTATGATGATTAAGAGCAAATTTTTAAAACATAATCGTCCTTTTTATATCAATATTTTTAATGTTGTATTAGACTATTTTTCAAGAAGTGTTCACTTTTATTTATTATCGCGTCAAGTAAATTTCCCACAATTGACGTAAATCGAATTGGGCGATTATCTAACGCAAGTGATCATTATTAAAGTGATAACATTTGCAACATCCATAATTCCGACATAGTGATCAAATCAAACGATTGATTTATTAGATTTAGTTCATTAAACAAATAGCAAAGCAATCCCAAAGTAATTTTTTAGGTAGATAAGAGCGTTCTTCGTATGTTCGCACTGGAAAAACTATATAAATGATGTTTTTTATGTGAAAATAGTTTTTCCAAGAGGTGTATAAAAAGTTACTTTGGATAATTTATTATAATGCTTTACCATCATCCTGTTTAAACTGACCAAAAACTTGAATCGATTCATTCTTATTTTCGTACAAATACATTTAAAACGCTAAATAATTCAGCATAAACTAATGCACCTGACCCAGACAAAACGCCCCCAAGAATACTGTGGGAAGTAGAAAGTGAAAATTATTAGTGAAACCAATGACTGAACTGGCTAATGACTCATGGGACAAAGAGGTCCATAAGAATAGAAACTTAGGAACATCACTCCACTGCATATTAAAAAAAATACGTAACATGATAATATTACATAAAACATAACATAAACCGAGTCACTATTAATTAAAGACTCCACGTATTATTGTCGGAGAAATCATTCGTGTTTTATCAGTGTCACGTTATTTTTAATAATTTTGTAATATTACGGACAAGAGAAAAATCGACATGTCTAGATTTTCTGTATGCATATGTATATAATATATGAGAGACTTCCTTTTAAAACTTTAGACTGCGGTATGGATTGCATAATACGATGACAGAAACATCTGATTGTACCAGTGTTTCCAACATTTGCCAGTTCATTCATGGGATTATTTCCTTAGTTAATGTTTGTTATTATTTTACTATCGTGTTTAAACTTCCAGTCTCACATTTTCTAACTGCTTTTGTACTCATCTGAACCGAGTGTTAACAGATAACATACCACATTTAGATTATATATCACTGTAGGAGACAGGAGTTATATTTTCACCAAGTTCGCCCTTGGTGATCCCAGCATTGAATGGATACCTGGTTGTTAAACGATTTTGCGGGTCGTATTCGAGGGAAAATTAGGATTAAGGACTTGCCCGAAACGCTATACATGCTAGTGGCTGTGCAAGAATATCAGAATTCGTGTATATAAATATTTATGTAAATAAAATAAAAATAAAATATTGTGTCAGGCCAGAGTCTGAATATTGTCAGGCCAGAGTGTGACCAGATATGTGCAACAGAAAACCCACAGTCACACCGCCCACAAAGACTTCAGAACTGCCGCCCAGGCAGAGTAGTAAGCTGTTCTAGGGGTATATACCCTCATCAGCACAGGTGCCTGGCGACGCGCAAGGAAGTTGCTCTCGACAGAGTTATGTTGGTGGAAAATTTTGGGCACTGGAGCGCCAGAGTGTGAATACCCTTGTTCCGGAGTAACTACAGAGGGACCGCGCCGCGAGACCAACAGATTCAGTTGGAGTTAGACTTGGAGACACTCGCCTCTGCTCCAACCTCCCCAGGAGGACCTCCCACGTGCTTCTGGGAGTATTTGGCTGGATTTAAAATCGTGGTCATAAGTGCATGATTTGGGGAGGAACGGACATCACACTCATATTAACTTTGAGCTGATGATGGGATGTTGGGATTAAAGTTATAATTTTTTTTCTAATAACATCCTCTCCGGTAACTGATATACAAACAAACAAATCAAATTTTCCAATTCACCACTTACTTAAATTTATTGAACTGCAGATAAAATATTAGCGAAATCAATAATACAGAAACAAAATACTTAAACAAAATTTTTTTATATATCAGTTTCCAAACTTGCCTCGCTTTCAGGAACTTAATCTCCTCCCTAATCTTTGATTCATCTGAAAGAACACTTATATGATTTGGCTTTGCCTGTTCTGCTATAAGGACTTAATAATTAAGTTTCCTGAATTGTATTTTAACCGTTTTACTAGTTTGATAATTTGTTGCTCTAGATAGGTGTTCTTATACTTATTGAGTGTGTATATGGTTTTTTTGATAAGGTATTTAATTTCCATGATTAACCATTTTTGGTTAATGCTATTTGTCTAACTTAATTTATATGGTATACTGCGTTCCTTAAATCTCAATTGCCGAACGTAACAATGTGTTATAATTTCCGAATAATTATCCGTCATCATTATCGGGAACTTCCTACCACAACACTTTAAACTGTGATGACAATGTCCGAATGTTACGCATCTCGTTACTTAAAACATTCGCCCAATTACTAATCTGATCCATAATACATATCGCAAATGTAAGTCCGCAAAAAAGCTTCAGAATATACTACATAAAACTTTAACTGCGTCCATGGTTCAAGTGTTGGGCCCCACATTACGATGGTACGTGACCTTAAGGACATCGTGACCTAAGTCGGAAGCTGAAGGGCCTTCGTGGTCAGAGATACGGTGGCTTTGGTTCCCCTATTTGTTTATTAATAACATTGCCTTGTAATTATATACAATTAAAATATATGCTAGAGAAATAAAGTAATAAGAACGTACCTTAGACTGTTGTATTTGTGCCCCTCGACGGTCGGTACGCACCTACCTGTAATAGTATGACAGGGAATTAATTATATGCACAAGTAAAATGTATTTTTACATTACAATCTCCATGCACAACACATATAATTCAACAACATATATAAATCAATCACATAAATTATCAAGCTTTATTTCACATCTAAACGCAACTCGTAGGATGGTGACCTTATCTAAGCGAATGACGACGTTGGGATCCCTTGTCTTCTAGTCAGCCAGGACGAGTGATTGTCCTAACACTTCCTGCGACACGAAACACGAATCCAAGACCCAAGGGCAAGAAAGCAGGAGATGGAAGGCTGGGACGAGGATGCAAAAACCTTGCGCAGGGAACAGGGTACAAGTCGGAATTAGTGGTAACCCAACCACCTAATCCGACCTCGACTCAAGTCCATCACATCCAGCGGTCATTCCCACAGACGCATTCATAAATTTTAACTTGCTGTTCATTCAAAACGGGAATTTTCTCAAGTATAAATTAATATTATAATATATTAGCATATTGTGCATATATAGGCATAGGATAGGTTAGGTTAGGTGTTTAGGTTCTGTTGGCGATTATATGTATTTGTAGTACGTCGGTGAAGCATTTATAGCAGTGTGATTCGAACAAAATTCGTCAGTGAAGCACTTATTCCGGATATGTTCGAACGTCAGCAGTTGTGAGTCGTGTGTAAACGGCTTTTCATTCATAAACAGGGGGTTTGGCGGGTGCATGGAATCACTTTTGGATCTTTGTTTGGAGGACGGGCTGTGGAGGTGGTAGTTGTTGGTGTTAGTTCAATCTTGGGTCTTCATATTCGAATGAACGGACGTGTTGCTTCAGTGCAATATATATTCAGAGTCGATATCTCTAGACATATAGACTTACACAAATGCACTTTACAGTTTCGGGCACAGCTATGCCTAGGCCTGGGTTAGGACTGGTGTTTATTTTTCACAAGTAACTATCTGCATTTGCAGCACTCTGAGGAAATACCAAGAGAGTCGACACAGCAGGCAAGCGAGGCGTACTAAGCGTCTTTCATTCACGAACAGGGAGAACTGGTCTAACGAGCACCTGGTTAATGTTTATGTGAACTGGCTGAATTATATGCTTTAAAGTGCGTTGACGAAACACCCGGAGAAGTGCACTTTGAACGCCAAGTCGGCAAAGTTTTGAAGTTTCTCTGTGATGAAACACCACCTAGCTTCGAATGGGTTTTCAGCGGGTTCATTGGAAACTCGAAAGGGAGAGCTTCAGAATCTTACACTTCAGTGCGTCAGATCAGTAAGGAGTTAGCAGCCCGTCCTCCAAACAAAGACCCAAAAGTGATTCCATGCACCCATCAGACCCACTGTTTATAAATGAAACTCGGTTTACACACGACTCACAACTGATTTCGTTCGAACAATTCCGGAACAAGTGCTTCACTGACGAATTTTGTTCGAATCACAACGCTATAAATGCTTCACCCACGTACTACAAATACAAATAATCGCCAACAGAACCTAAACACCTAACCTAACCTATGCCTATATATGCACAATATGCTAATATATAATGATATTAATTTATATTTGAGAAAATTCCTGTTTTGAATGAACACATGTAAAAATTTATGAACGCGTCTGGGGGGTCGACCGCTGGATGTAAATTGAATGAGTCGATGACGGGTTGAAAAGGAGTTGGTTATGGTTAATATTAGTTTGAGTGGCGACGAGTGAAAATGGACACATCGGAAGTGTAACTGAAAAACTTCACTACTCGACTCAACTCCTACCGAATAAGAAAGACACTCTATGAGGTCATGTTGATAAACAGTCGGCGTCCTATCACGAGTTTCTTAACAGGAAAAGTGTAAAGTGTTAATACGTATGCGGGAACTTTTATTATTCGTTCGTTGTTTAGCAAGAACCGGAGAGTTTATTTTGGTTATCGGTGATGAAATATAAATAAAGATGAAACCAACACAAACTCCTGATACTTTCGCACGTGACTGTGTTTATTCAGGAATCAATATTGTACAGGAAATGCCAGTTGAATACAGGGCCTCTAGTACTTTGCTAAATGTGCATTTTATTAGAGAACTACAGTCCATCATCCAGTGGGATTAATTAGCATTAAAGTGTGGCAGTCAGTGTTAGGACAATCACTGTCCCAACACTGTCTACTAGTCCTGGCTGACTAGTAGACAAGGGATCCCAGCATCCTCGTCCGCAAAGACAAGGTCACCTTCCTACGAGCTGCTTTTAGATGTGAAATAAACTGATAATTTATGTGATTGAATTATATTTGTGATTGGAGATTGTAATGTAAAAAGTGAATTATGCTTTTGCATATAACTAATTCCCTGTCATACCATTACAGGTAGGTGCTTACCGACCGTAGAGGGATAGACCTACACCAGTTTAAGGTACGTGCGTATTACCGTCTGTTTAGCATATATTTTTAATTGCGTATAATTGCAAGGCAATGTTCATTATAAAGAAATAGGTGCACCAAAGCGACCTTCTTTGGTCACGAAGGCCCTTCAGCTTGCGACTTGGGTCAGGGGGTTCTTTAGGTCAAGTACCATTGTTTTGCCCCACATTACGATCACTTGGAACTATTTAACTGCGTCAATAGTCAATGTATTATATTCTGACGCACTGTTGCGGACTTAAATTTTGCGACTTGTAATATGGATCATATTACTAATTGGGCGAATGTCTAAAGTAAAACGATGCGTAACATTCGTATAGTGTAATAACATTTTCAAGTGTTGTGGTAGAAAGTTCCCGGTAATGAAGGGTAATTAGTTGCAAATTATAACAAATTGTTAAGTTAAGTAATTGAGGGTATGGACATACTTTACAATTTCAATTGACCAAAAATTAACAATAGGCGTTACCATTCTTTTCCTGATAAGGAATTTATTACACATAATTAGAATACGAATGCCACTGAAGAACAACAAATTATCAAACTACAAAGTTAAAATACAACTCGGGAAATTTAAAGTTAAGTTCTCATTGCAGGACAGGGAAAAGCGAATCATAAAACGCTTCGTTCAGATTTATCGAAGAATAAGGTTGGGCTGTTGAAAGCGAGGCAAGTTAGGGAGTTTATATTAAAAAAAAATGGACTATTTATAAAAGTATTTTGTATCTGTATTGGCGAAATCCTTAATATTTTATCTGCAGCTGAAGAAATTTATGTAAGTGGTGACTAGGAAAAATTAACTTTTTTAATTTGCTTACTGACAGAGGAAGTTAGTAGACAAAATGGATAAATATAATCCCAACACGGCTCTGTCACCCTGATCATTCAGAAACAATGGTATTCACACTCTGGCACTCTAGTGCACAAATTATCCTCTTGCATAACTGTCGAGAGAGACTTCCTTGCGTGTCGCCAGGCACCTGTGCTGATGAAGGTATAAACCCCTAGAACAGCGTATTACTCTGCCTGGGCGGCAGTTCTGTGGTCTTTGTGGGCGGTGTCACTATTGTTGTACACACCTGGTCACACTCTTGGCCTGACACAATCATATGCAACTCCTGTCTCCTACAGTGATGTATAATCTTAATGTGGTATGATATCTGTTAAAACACTGTTCAGATGAGTACATAAGCAGCTAGAAAATGTGAGACGGTAAGTTTAAACACGGCAGTAAACTAATAACCAATATTAACTAATGAAATAATTCCATGAATGAACTGGTTAAAACTGGCAACACTTGTGCAACCAGGCTCCGTGTGGCTCTGCCCGGAGCCAGCAATAACCGGAACTCGCTGGTCACTTCCTATTAAAAACATAACAAAGGTAACTGCAGAAGGCCTATTGGCCCATACGAGGCAGCTCCTATTTATAACCACCCAATCCCACTCGTATACTTGTCCAACCCACGCTCTAAACAATCCAGGGACCCCACCTTCACCACGTTACGCGTCAATTGGTTCCACAATTCGACAACCCTGTTATTGAACCAGTATTTACCAAAGTCTTTCCTAAATCAAACGTATCCAATTTACACCCATTGTTTCGTGTTCTGTCTTGTGTTGATACTTTCAATACCCTATTAATATCCCCTTTATGTCCATTCACCCACTTGTAAACCTCTTATCATGTCACCCCTAACTCTTCGCCTTTCCAGTGAATGCAACTTAAGCTTTGTTAATCTTTCTTCATATGAAAGATTTCTAATTTTGGAATTAACTTAGTCATCCTACGCTGGACATGTTCGAGTGAATTTATATCCATTCTATAATATGGCGACCAAAACTGAACTGCATAATCTAAATGGGGCCTAACTAGAGCAAGATATAGCTTGAGAACCACACCAGGTGTCTTGTTACTAACGCTGCGATTAATAAATCTAAGTGTCCGATTTGCCTTATTATGAACATTTATGCATTGATCCTTTTGTTTTAAATTCTTACTAATCATAACTCCCAGATCCCTTTCGCAATTCGACTTCGCAATCTCAACACCATCTAGCTCGTATCTTGTAACCCTATCATCATTACCTAACCTCAGAACTTTACATTTATCAGCATTAAACTGCATCTGCCAATCCTTCGACCATTTCAAAACCCTATCTAGATCAACTTGAAGTGATAGTGAGTCCTCCTCCGAATTAATTTCCCTACCGATTTTCGTATCATCGGCAAATTTGCAAATGTTGCTACTCAAACCTGAATCTAAATCATTTATATATATATTATAAACAACAGAGGTCCTAGGACAGAGCCCTGAGGCACCCCACTTACAACATTTTCCCACTCTGACTTGACTCCATTTATACTGTTTCCTTTGGTATAGCCATGCCCTAATCCAGCTTAATATTGCACCCCCAATACCATGAGACTCTAACTTTTTAATCAGTCTTTCATGTGGCACTGTATCAAAAGCTTTGCTAAAGTCAAGGTACACAACATCGCAATCCTTACCACTATCAACTGCCTCAACAATGCTAGAATAAAAAGATAACAAATTTGTTAAACATGAACGGCCATTTATAAAACCATGTTGCGACTCGATTATTAATTTATGTTTTTAAAGATGAAGACGAAAATCTACATCTGCCAATCCTTTGACCCTTTCAAAACCCTATTTAGATAAACTTGAAGTGATAGTCTTCTTCCGTATTAATTTCCCTACTGATTTTTGTATCGTCGGCAAATTTGCAAATGTTGCTACTTAAACCTGAATCTAAATCATTTATATATATATATTATAAACAACAGAGGTCCCAGGACAGAGCCTTGAGGCACTCCACTTACAAAATTTTCCCACTCTGACTTGACTCTATTTATACTAAATGGTATGTATATCTCTAGTTTGTGGAAAAAGAAGTTTATCTTGACCCGATCAGATGGAGGGACGTCTAAGGTAAGGTAAGCTGTGCCTGTTGTTAATGTAGGGGGCGACGACGATCGTGGGATAGGATGGGCCCCGGCATACCCGTTAAGGGTTAAACGCGAAGCCCGGAAAGGTGAAACGCTAAGCCAAATCGCGAAACAAGACTCCAATCCCTAGAAACTAATATGCCTTGCGGCAAATAAACGCATACAGGCAGATAATTGGAGAACACCAGGAGTTCCCCAGGGTGACAAGCACCGGCCCCGCCCCACATAGAACACTGGGTAGCAAAACCAAAAACTCGGCCCCCAACGAAAATGCAAAAGTCGTCTAGTACCCAAGCAGTATCCTCCCCCGCGATAACAGCTTGACGAGTAAATGCAACCTCAGAATACTGTAAAGAATTACGGAACAAAAAATTGTACTACTTACGGGCTATTCATGCCCGTGCCACCTCTTGGGTGGCTTAATATCAATCGGCTTCCCTCTCATTCACGTGCGGTGCTAGGTCGAGGATGGTGCATTGAAGTTCTGTGGAAGTAGTGTGGCCTCTAGGTTTAAGTATAGTTTTGTTTGTGTAAGTAGGATAAGTTTAAAGTGCTTTATTTTAGTGTAAGCCTATTTCATTGACCGTTGCAGTGTGGAACTCGTATTGGTTTAATTCTTAATTCTTACCCGTGTCTCTGTTCCTTCAGAGGGAGCCACGTGGTGTACTAACTTGTCTAAGTATTAATTGTCCGGCTTTGTAAATATACTGAGGAATTAGACTGTTTCTTTCCTCATCCTCGTTCTATGCCACGTGTATGGAGGGGGGGAATTAATGGGATACTGTGCTATTCTCGAGCCTTATTACACGAGCACGTGACATATTTTGGCGACCGTGGCAGGATCCCTTGTACATTGCCTTGTACTGTTACTTGGGAGTGTAAAAGTCCACATTTTATTTAAATATTATAGTTTATTTACTAAGCATTTGCTGCCTGTATGAAAATGAATTTTTTTTAGCAGTGCATTAATTTGTTGCCTGTTTATTGTGGCATCTGTTTATTTTATTGATCACTTGCTAGTATTCTTAGATTCTTGCCAGAGTTTTGTATTAGTGCATTTAGCATACATTAATATTTAAAGTAATTTACTTAATCTTGAACCCTACTAATTCATCCCTGTCCTAGGTACGATACCGATTCTGGAGCCTAGTGATTGTTGCTATTTCGTACTTGGGGAAAAAATATATTGTGAGCGTGGGTCTGACTGACTATTTCAACACTTCTGGATCAGCGTACGTGTCATCAGCGGGTGCCAGGTGGGCCGTGCTAGTTTGTTTTGTACCATTATTAGTGTAATTTTAAGTGCAGTGCTGTGAGTGCCGCAGTGTTTTTTAGCGAGCCCGTTTTATCCCTCATTCTGGAAGCCCTAGTAGCCGATTTTTTTGTCTCCCTCAGTTCAGGGACTTCTAATAATCCTAAGCCACCGGGTCAGACTTCTCCTTCTAGTATTAGACGTAACAATAATGCTAGAAATTCCATGGGCTCCTCTAGGCCCCAGTCTGACCGGGTGTACTCCCACTGTAATAAGGTCATCTGGCGCAATCATGTTTTCAGTTGCACCCTGAACTCAAAGCTGCTGGGTTTATGATGAAGGGGGTTGACACCGTGAACTCATTTATATTCGGTAACCCTGGGATCTGATGGGAACATGGGTTACGAACTTTACTTTTATGTGGGTCACATACTGTAGTAATGGCCATTGGAAGCCAGTTAAAATCTTAAGATACCGGGGCCTCTCAGAGTATTATTGTTCACCAGGTGGTGGCAAATGTAGCATAGATACTGGTGAATTTGTTATTGCAAGATTTTGCAGGTTGGGTGCAGAAAGCCCCATTAAGGTGCAGGTCTTGTCCGAGGTTACTCCAGGTCATTGTGTGCTAGCTGTTTGTAATAAATTACCTATTTCAGGAATAGACAAGATTCTGGGAAATGTGGCACTTCCACATTCATTTGGGAAAAGCAATCCGTGTTAGTGTATTACCTATGTGTGGTTAGTCACCCCAGAAGGGAGTTGATGTTCCTTCTCCTGTTAGTGATGTTTTGCCTATTGTTAATAAACTGCCCCCATTAAATGAACAAATCCATAAGGGCCGTGACGAGGATTCGAACCTGCGTCCGGGAACATCCCAAACGCTGCCCCCATTAGTTCCTATTAGTGCCAAGGTACATGTTGCTGACGACACCAGGACTCCCCCCCCCCCCCCCCTAGTTGTGGAGGTTCTCAGATTGTTTAAGCCTTGATGATGAGGGAGTATGTAGAGGTGGCCTCGCCTCAGCCTAGCCCACTTGGTTCACTCGGTGAGCCAACCCCACGCTGACTGTCTCCAGTAGCACGGGGCATCACCTTCACTCACCAGACCACTCCACAGTGAGCATTTGAGTTAAATCATGGAATTTCAATTGAATTGTAATAGATCCAGCAATGCTGCTCAGTATAGGAAAAGAATCTATACTCTATAAAAGTTCTGAAAGTGACGGCGAGTGGAATCGGGTGACTAAGGCAAACAGGACAAGCCATTCCATGACGACCCATCGTCCGACAATCACTCCAGCTTCTCCAGCTCTTCCAGCTCCTCGGACTAAATCTGCACTACCAATCTTCAAGGTGCAGCGTACTGAAAATAAGTCTTCCTACGCCACTGTAGTGGACCTCGAAAAAGAGTACCCCCAGCTCCAGATCAGGGCAAAACCTAATCTCGGGAGAATATGTTCCGAGGCCCAAAGATGAGTCGGCCGCAATGATTCTGAAAAATTACACAATGTGAGGAACTGAAACCATAAGATAAAATACGAAAAATCATTGTCCTCCACTATCCCTTGCATATGGCCCTTGACAATCTCGAAAAGCTGAACTATGTGGGGTCAGCAGAGATGCCAGGAACCACAAAACAGGAAACACGACAAGTCCTTTTCACAGTAGGAGGACGGATCCCGGAGAAACTTGACCTTGGAATCTGGGGCGTGTTCCAACACAGGCCTTACACCCCAGAGCCCTTAAGATGCTTTAGATGTCAGATTTGGGCATCACAAAGATGGCTGCCAACGCCCAGCGAGGTGCGGAGTCTGCAGCCAGCACCACGACACAAAAATATGCATTGATAAACACAAGGCAAACCACCCTGTCCAGGCAAAGTGCCCAAATTGCTCAAAGGCACATCACGCCTGGAACTTGAAATGCCCTAAAAGGCTCAAAAAGCTTCAAACTAACTCTACCACGCCTACAGCTGAGCCAACAACCTGTCCTCTTAAAAAGAACGTCGCTTTTGGCCGTTTGCCAGTATGGCCGAATTTGGACGTAATTTGAAAATGAAAAAAAAATTGAAAATAAATTTGGAGTTTTTTTTTCAACAGTAAGTTAAGGGTCCTCTGATAGGTTAGGTGGGCAGGAAATTCTTATAAAGTTTCAAAACGTTATGAAAAACGTTAATTTAAAGTGTCCTCTTATAACCTCTGC